ACGGCAAGTGCAAGGAGAAGTAGGCCGTCGCGAAGAACTAGTACGACCGCGTGGAACCCCCCCCCCCCCCTTCCCGCCCCACCCGCCTGTCCGAGCCGGCGGCGGTCCCCCGGACGCCCCGCCCCGCTCCCCCTCCGTGCATGTAATGTGGGGAGGACCCGTCCGCGCGTCGCCGGGCGCGCGCCGCCGTCACCGCTTCGCGCACCAGAGGCAGAACATGACGGCCATGACGAAGGCGACGAGGTACCACATGTGGCGGTTGCCGCCCGCGCCGATCATCGCGTCGAGCTTGCCCATGGTCCGCCGCAACAGGTCGCCCGCGCCGCCGACGGACCCGTCCTGCGATGGGGGTCGCGGGCTCCGGCGGCCGCGGGGCCCGGTTCGCGCGGGCCGCGCGCCATGTCCTCGAGCAGCTCGTTCTGCGACCGCACCTCGCCCTCGATGTCGTAGGACAGGGCCCGCAGCGCCGAGACCTTGCCGCCGAGCGCCGCCAACTGGTCGTCGTTCTCCTGGAGCATGTGGTCGTGCTGCAGCGACGACGGCGCGCCGCCGCGGGAGCGCATCGCGGAGGCGCGGCGCGCGCGCGCGCGCTCGTTTCCGCGGTGGACGGCGAGGCGAGGCGAGGCGCGCGCTCTGCGGCCGCGCCGTGCTGAGAGCGGCAACCGAGCGTCACGTTCGCCGCAGCGTCGGCAGGCCTCCTGCGCGCGCCGCACGACGACGCAAGCTTATCCCGCGCGCCCCCCCCCGAATCCTAGGGCGAGGCCTTGAGCTTCTTCGCCGCGGGCTCGTCGGCGTCGTTCTCGTCCGCCGGGAGCTCCGAGTCGTCGATGATGTCCTCCGCCGCGTCGCCGCCGTCGTCGTCGTCCGCGTCGTCGTCCTCGTCGTCCTCGTCGCCGAGGTCCACCTCCGCGTCGTCGTCCTCCTCCTCGTCCTCCTCGTCGTCGTCGTCGTCGTCGTCGTCCGCGCCGTCGTCGTCGTCCGCGCCGTCGTCCGCCGCGGCGCCGTCGTCCGCGGGCGCCGCGGGCGCCGCGGCCGCGTCGCCCGGCGGCGGCGGCGGCGCGGCGGGCTGGGGCGCCCACTTGATCGCGTAGCGCGTCACGCGGGGCTGGTCCGCGCAGAGGTTCCGGAAGACCCGCTCCGCCCCAAAGTCCGGCGGCGCGTCCTCCGGCGGCACGGCCGCGCCGCCCTCGCGGGGCCCCGCGCCCGGCGCGAAGTACTCGTTGTTCACGTAGTAGCCCACGGACACGAAGGGCTGGTCGAGGTACGCGCACGTGATCGACACGACGGTCACGCCGAGGCGGTCGCCGCGCGGAATTTCTGCGAAGCTCGGCGGCGGCGCCTCGAGGACGAACTTGGACGTGCCCAGGGGCACGGGGCCCACCATGACCTCCTCGAGCACCTGGTCCCTCCCCTGGTCCTCGGCGGACCCGACGTAGACGATCTTCCACTCGAGGTCGTCCTCGAGCGAGTCGAGGCACTCGAAGGTCACCTCGAAGCGCAGCGGCGCGTCGAAGGCGCTCGGGTTCTCCGACACGTACTTGACCTCGAGCACGTCGACGATGCTCATCGTGCCGCGGCGCGGCGCGGGTCCCGACCTGGTAGCTCGAGGCTTTGAATCGGCCTCAGTCGCGTTCGGCTGGCCAGCGAGGCCCTCAACTTGCGCGTCAACATAGAGCCCTCCAGGCGATTATGGCGACGCCGTCCGCCCGCAGGTGGGCCGGCGGGGCGCGGGGGGCGGCGCAGGCGCGGCGCAGGCGCGACGCGCCTCGACGCGGCACCGCGCCGCGCGTCCCGCGGCCCGCGCGCGGCCGAAGTCGCGGCCGAGCCCCTCCCCGCGGCGGCACGCACCGGCGTCGGACGTTTCTATCTACGCCCGCGCGCCGCGCCCGCCGGTCCGTCAGAGGTCCCCCTCGCGCTCGATCTCCCCGAGGAGCGCCTCGACCTCGTCGTCCTGGAGCTCCTCGAAGCGCTTCGCGATGACGGCGTCCTCGTACTGCTTGAGCTGCGTGCTGTAGGTCATGTTCTTCGTGAAGACGCGGAAGATGTAGGAGAAGGTCCAGAGGAGGATGGACCCGATGACGAAGACGCCGGAGAGCACGACGCCGACCTCGTTCGAGTCCATGCCGGTGGCCACCAAACCGGCCCAGAGCGCGTAGGGGACGACGAGCGCGAGCACCGTGAGGACGATGACGCCGCCGTAGGTGCCGGGGTCGAAGTACCACGGCAGCTTGTTCTCCTCGACCTGGCCCCCGGGCTCGGCGCGGAGCGCGACGCGGTTCCGTCGGTCGCCGGCGGGGACGGGCCGGGCCAGCGCGTTGGTCCGCCGGAGCGGGAGCGCGGCGGCTCGTCGAGCGGGCACCTGGAACGCGGCCGATGGCCGGAGCGCGGCGAAGACCGCGAGGGCCACGCCGAGCGCTGACGACATGGGACGGCCGGCCATGTCTTGCTCTGACTGGTCGATGCCTCGATTTCACCAAGGTCACCGCCGGCTTCGTTCCGTAAGCTTGCCGTGCGCCGTGCATATTTCCCCGGGGGCGCCCGCGCCGTCTACGCGCAGTCCCCGCCCACACGCCTCCGTACCAGCCGTCGATGCTGACGCGCCTGCGCACTTGCTTCTCCCCGCGCGCTGTGCTTGCACCTCGCCTCGAGCCTCCCATTTCCTCCACATACCTCGCGCCCCGGTCCACCGACGAGCCTTAGTCGTCGACGGCGAGGAGGTCCTCGTCGTCGCTGCTCGCGGCGTCGAGCGCGGCGTCCGCGGCGCCCGACGCGCCGCCGAACGTGTGCGACGCCGCGCGGGCGGCGGCGGGCGGCGCGGGCAGGCGCGGGTCCGCGGCGGCGAGGTGGCGGCCCACGTTGGCGTCGGCGATGGCGTCGCGGCCCAGGGTCTCGAGGTCCTTGGCCGCGGCGTCGAGCACGATCGTCAGCGCGTCGCGCGCGCCCTCGAGGTCCTCGGCCGCCGCCAACGCCTCGAGCCGCGCGGCCTCGTGCGCCTCGCGCGCGGCGGCGAGGTCGGCCTCGAGGGCGCCCGGCGCCGCCGCGGCGATTGCGTCGGCGCCGGCGTCGACGGCGCGGGACGCGGCCACGACGTCGGCGGCGAGGGCCGCGACCGCCGGGTCCGGCCGGCTCGGGTCCCGCGGCGCGTCGGGCAGGCCGCGCGACGCCTCGAACATGGCGAGCGCGAGCGCGTCGAGCGTCGCGTGCAGCGCGTCGACGGCGTCCGCGGGACGCGCGGCGTCCGCGGGAGGCGCTGCGGCCATTGTAGAGCTCTCTCGAGTCGAGGTGCAGCAGCGATTCAACATCGATGCAAGTTGGCGCCACCTTCGACACTTACCCATCCGCACCTCCCTCGGCGATCGCGCCGCGAGAAGACCGTGCGGGGGGGAGCGGTCGATTAGGGCGCGCGCTCACGCGCCGCGCGCGAGCTTGGCGCGGCGCTGGCGGAGCTTGTCGACGGCCTGCTGCTTGCGCTGGAGGCCGTGCTGCATGCGCTCGTAGAGGCGCTTGGCCTTCTTGGACATCATCATCTTGGCCATGGCCTTTTGCGCGTCCTCGCCGTCGGCGCCGGCGCCGTCGTCGCCCGCGTCGTCGTCGTCGGAGCCGTCGGCGGAACCGTCGTCGCCGCCGTCGCCGGCGGCGCCCGCGGCGGCGCCCGCGGCGGCGCGCGCGGCGGCGCCCGCGGCGGGGGCGGCGTGGTCCTCCGGGAGCGAGTCGTCGTAGTCGAAGAAGGGCGACAGGTGGCTCGGGAGGGCCGCGCCGGGCGCGTAGGGCGCCGCGGGCAGGAGCGTTCGCTTGTTGAGGCAGTCGACGACCCACTGGGGCTGGACGGCGTCGCGCGTCGCCGCCTCGCCGGGCGGCGCGGCGCCGCGGTCGCGGACGACGTGCGTGACGTCGCCCGGGTCCGTCGCGCCGTCGGCGACCGTCGCGCCGGCCGCCGCGAGCGCGAAGTCGAGCCAGCCGTAGGACGCCTCGCGCGCGAGCTCGACCGTGAGCCCCGCGAAGACGCCCGCCGGCGCGCGGTCCGCCGGCGCCGCGAGCTTGAGGTACCGCGACGTCGTCGCGCACTCGAGCGGCGGGAACGGCAGCTCGAGCTTCTTGTAGAGGCGGAAGCACACGGTCTTGAGCAGGGTCTCGTAGAACTCGAGGAACGTGACCATGACGCGCAGGTCGACGTCGCGGGGCACGGCCTGCGTGAACGCGTGCGGCACGAGCCACGTCACGGCCTTGCCCTCGACGTCCGCGGAAAAATAGACGCCCTTGATGGAGATGAAGGCCTTGGTCAGGCCCCCGGACAGGGCCACGGCGTTCTCCCAGGCGCGGCAGAGGCCCTTGCACGTCGCCGTGTGCTCCGGCGTCACGCGGCCCGCGCCCGGCAGCGTCGCGAAGAGGTAGACGAGGCTGAGGCAGTCGTCGAGGTCGTCGAGCGCGAGCTCGAAGCGCGGGTAGCGCTCGCGCACGAGGTGGTAGAGCGTGTACTGGGGCGCGCCCTCGTGGCGGCGCCGCGCGTCGCCGACGTCGCGGCGGCCCGCGGACCGGCGGACCTTGGTCATGAGCGCCTTGAACTCGCGGAACTTGGCCACCAGGGGCTCGTGGGCGAGGTGGGCCACGTCCTGCACGGAGTAGTAGACCTTGTCCTTGCCCTTGGCCATGGCCTTGGGCGGGTCCCGCGGGTAGACGCCCTTGAGGATGCAGAGCCGCCGGAAGTCCTTGAGCGTGAGCTGGAGCCGTCTCAGGATCGTGCTCCGCGTCATGAAGGCGCTGTTGACGCCGCGCTCGCCCTTCTTCGTCATCTTGCCGTGCTTCGCGAGGCGCTGCTTCACCGAGAGCTTCGTCGTCGCCTTGGCGCTGTTCTGGAACGTGCCGCCGCCGCGCTTCGCCCGCTTGACCTTCTTGCCATGGTAGATGCCCGTGCCGGCCTTGCCCATGGTGTCCGGCGGCGGCGCGTCGGAATGCGGCCGGCGCGGGTCGACGGAGAGAGGCTACTGAGCGGGCTGTGCACGCTCACGGACGGCGGTCGATGGCCAAACACGAGCGTCGGACGCCTCGATCGCCAATGCAACACGGCGGCTTCATTCGTTCAACATTTACCCCTCGGGAAGCGGCCCGGATTCCTTGTCCTCATGGCTGTGGCAAGAGATTGCCGGCGCCCGCGCACCGCGCGTGCGCCCCCGCGAGCCCCCGCGCGGGTTACGCTGTCGTCTGTGACCTATGTGACGTTCGTAACCAGCTCCTTGGCTCCGGAAAAGACGCGCGCGTGCGTCTACGGCGTGGGCCCCAAAACGCCGTAATCCGGCGGTCCGGTCATGCGGCGGCAAATCGATGAGTTCTCGGGCGCTCTTGCAACCGGACGATCGAAGTCATGGTGCGAGTCGATGGTGCGACGCATCTTTGGTCGCGCGCCGATTTTCTGACGACTCGCGAATGTCCGCCGGGCGCCGAAGCGCTTTGACCGAAAACGCGAACCGCGGTGCGCCTGTGGGCGCTGGCGGCGGGCTGGCTGCCGTCGAAGGCGTGGACCATATGCTACGAGCGGGCGAAGGCGTCGGAGTCGCCCCGGGTTGCGAAATCGGCGTACGAGAGGTTGTTCTGGTCAAAAGTGGCCTCAAATAGCCCGAAAACGAGTGATTTCGGCGCCAAACGCAGCGTTTCGCGTCGACCGATCACCGCCACTGTGTTCCGTCGGGCGGTTCGACACGATAGAGCTCCTGCATGACGATCTACACCGTCTCCGACGCCCAAAAGGTGCCCGACACTCGCCGAAAGCGTCTCGGCCGAGAAGTGGCGAATGGTCTCCGCGGCCCTTTACGGCCGCGTCCGGGCCTCGGCCAAGGATTATGCGACCTGTTCGTCCATCTACGGTCCCGATCGCAGCCGCGAGCGGCTGGGTCGCTGCAGAGAGCGCCCTAGAGCGTCTCCAGGGGCTCAAACATGCTCATTTAGGCCTAAATTTACTCCTTCACGCCCCATAAACTCGCTCTCTGCAGCGATCCCGCACCCCATGGCGCGGGTCGGGACCGTCGGCGGACAGGGCGGGCGCAGGAGCCTCGAGCAAGGTCGAGGCGCGGCCGCAAAGCCCTGCCAAAGGACCCCGGCGACCACCGCTCGTTCGGCGCGGACGCGCCGACGCGCGAGAACGGGGGCGCGCGGACGACGACCAGCGGTCCGCGCGGACGTGGTGGTACCATACCCGACCCCTCGATGCTTAGCTGTCGCCGGAGAGTCACATGGCGCAGCTGCGCAGGCCCTCGAATCCCTCGGCCGAACGCGGCCGAACACCTCGACCATGTTGTTGCACATGTGCATGGCGCGCGTCACGCACCTCAAGCGGTTGGATCGATCGATCATCATCCCCGACCCCTTCCCCACGCACTCGGAGGACACGGGCACGCCCGTGTCGACTCCGAATCGGACCCGCTCGGCTCGATTACGCGCATCGGCGCGGACGCGCCGACGCGCGAGAACGGGGGCGCGCGGACGACGACCAGCGGTCCACGCGGACGTGGTGGTACCATACCCGACCCCTCGATGCGTAGCTGTCGCCGGAGAGTGACATGGCGCAGCTGCGCACCCGATCGGCGCCACCCGCCGAAGGTCGCTGCTCGAGCACGACCGCTCGCGCTCCGCTCGCGTCGTCCAGCCGCGCCACCGCGCGGAGAGGCCCGTCGGATGCATGGCTCGGCGCTCCTACGTTTTTTTCCGCGACGGAATCGGGGAACATGGCGCCGCGCACGGCGCAAAACACGCTCTCCGAGGCGCTTCGACGCTGCTCGGGACAAGCCGAGGACATTGGCCGGGGGTAAAATCGCAGTGGCTTCCCGAGGGGTAACATTGCAGCGTGCACGGTCGATCCGTCTCGTCCAAGCTTTGGAAATTATAGAAATCCAGGGGCAGCGCCCGCGGGTGAGCACGCGAATGGCGGCGCTCGCGGCGTCGTCCCTGCCGAAGAGCGCGTCGCACGACGACCTCGCCGCGCTGAGCATTTCCAAGAGCGCCTCCGACGGCGCCATGGCGTCGCCGGGCCTCGCGCGGGCGCAGTCCTTCGCGTCGACGCCGTCGCTCGCGTCGCTCGCGGGCCCGCCGGCGCCGCCGCTCGAGCTCGAGGAGCGCGACGCGGCGTCGGGCCTCAAGTACGTGCGCTGCATGCTCGGCGCCGGCGCGGCGGCCGACGCGCCGGAACCGCCGGTCGTCTTCTTCGCGCACGGCTGCGCCATGAACGCGGGCGCCTGGCGCGGCGCGCTCGCGGCCCTGCACGCGGCGCTCTGCGACGGCGGCCGGCGGCTCGAGGCCGTCGCCGTGGACCTGCCGGGCCACGGCCGGAGCCCCGCGGCGCCCGTGGCGCCGGCCGGCGGCGGCGCGCCGCCGGGCCCCGACGGCGGCGGCGGCGGCGCCTGGCGCGGCGTCGCGCGGGCGCTGCTCGACGTCCTGGGCGAGGTCGCGGGCGACCGGCC